GACGTTCGTCCGATAAAGGTTAATAGCCATCATCATGCAAATACATGGTTAACATATATACACCACTGAACTGCAGTACTAGTAAAATTGGATACAATATTATTAATTATATAAAATACTTGATGTAAAAAGACAATAAATCAGATTATATAAAACAAAAGTTATAGTATAAAACAAGAATAAAATTCTTCAACTGATGTTTTATGTCATCAAGTCAGTCGTTGGTTTTTGTAATTTTGTTGCGTTCCCACAGACAAATTGCAATATTCTATTCCAATATTCGTTGTTTACATTCCCTACAGAATGGACAGTACTTTGTAAGATGAGGCACCGACTAAATAATTAACATTAATATTGCTACATCTACATCACGAGCCTCCAATACATTTTTTATATATACACAAAATATAGAATATTCCAATTGGTCCGTGGGAACACAACAAAATTACAAAAACCAACGACTGACTTGACGACGTAAAACATGGAAGAATTTTATTCTTGTTTTATATAATCTGATTTATTGTATTTTTACGTCAAGTATTTTATATAGTTAATAATACTGTATCCAATTTTACTAGTACTGCGGTTCAGTGGTGTATATATATTAACCATGTATTTGCCTGATGATGGCTATTAATAGCCGAAACATGTAGCAGAGCCAAAACTAGGCACTGATCTTGATATTAGTTGTGTTGTGATGGTTGTAATAAAGAGGATGAATGAAATGTACATTTGGCTATGCTTGTATGCATTTTCTGTTTATATATTCGCATGAGAAGATTTGCATTTCAGTGGGCATAATTTTTGCCATAACCTTTAACAGAACTTCTCAATGATGAGTGAGTCCATTTGTGAGGTGGAGGCACCTGAGACTCCAGTGTCCTGAATGGTAAAATGATGATATGATGATGCTACCCAACAGAAGGGAATCTACAGCTTAAAATGAACTCTGAACCAAAATGCAGGCCCACAATGGCAAAACTTAACCTTTTTCAGAGAAGAAGAAAGAGAAAGGCATATAGAAAAATGTATAATGAATCCAATCATTCTCAAAGTTGAGGGCCATGCTCCTAGACTACTATGTCTCCAAGTTGTAAATTTTTAAGCTGCAGGCTAAGTAAATGATGTAGAGATTACAGGAATGCCTTGTGAAAAAACATGAAACCAAAATATCAAACCTTGAGCCACCAAGGACAGACCAGACTGAAAATAGTATGACAGCATCTAATAGTTTCATGAAACAAGCATTACAAGAATTTGGCAATATGCACTATAGTGTTCTGAAGAAACAAACTATGCAGGATTCAGTACCACTCATGCTTCTATCAGACATGTTCTAACATAATCTTCGTGCTACAGTCTCATTAAGATCTCGGGGTTTTCATGGTCATGAAGATTCATATGGGATGGTGTAATACTGTATATTGATCTCTTTCTCTCAAGACATCGCCATACAGCACACAAGGAGAACTGGCAACTACACCAATACTACTACAGAATGTGGATAGTCTAACAAATGTTTCAAAAAGCATTCCTTAAAATATCATCCAACAAGACATTAATCCTCACAGAAATGTTTAAAAAAATCCATACACATGGAGAGAGACTACAACACTCAGAGCCATGCATCTTGAGAACAACTGGAAGACCCAAGCTAGCATCATTCCAGGTAATGCATAAAACACAAAATATCCTTTGAAGGAAAACTAGCAGTCACTTATGAATACTTCCAGTCCGACTTCATATCTGAGGAAATAGCAGACTGTCTGACCTAGACATTTAGTAAAGCAGGTACACAAACTGGTGTTATGTGCAGAAGACCAAACAATGAGCATACATAGTAAACAAGAAAAATGACACTGTATTCTCATTCTTGGGGGAATCCCTCCTCTTATGAACAGACCTCATGAACCAACTTACATTACTCATAACTAGGGACTGGACTTTAATGCTCTAATAATCCCATAAATATGTATGGATTTGTGCATGAAAAACTTTCAAATTTGCACATAAAAAGTTCATGAAAATATTAAAATTTATTTTACATTATTTTAAGACCAACAAATCAACATTCAAGTTCATTTTATGTAATAACTTAATGATTCACTTGCAATGAAAAGCTATACTAAAATACAAATCATGGAACAAAGCCAACATTTTTTTCATTACAAGTTAAAAACTATGGTACTCATATTTAGCTCTCCAAGCTTTCAACTTCTCTTCTGTTGCAGTTCTCAGTTACAAAATGTTTTAGGTTTTCCACAGTTAATCGCCTCCTCTTGTCTCATAACATGTCCTTACAATGGAAAAAACTTCTTTCCACCTTAAAGGAACTTCAATGCACATGTACAAAAGCCACTATTTGCTCTACTGTTAGTGATTTTTTACTTGGCAGTTCAGCATATTTACTGGTTAAAATTTCTAAATTTCTAAAATTGTATACACACGACAATGATGAAAATTTGAACATGAAAAAAAAAATATATATATATATAATGATGAACGTTTTAAAAAGAAAATATGCAGCATAAATGGAGATCTTCGAAAATATTATGTTTATTTATAAAACAGGCAAAATATGCATTTGTATGCACCATCAAACCATGTCTAAAATTTAAGAAATGAAGTAATTCATACATATATCCAAATGAGCATACTTTTGGTTGCAAGAAAGAAATATGCATTTGCATTAAAATTCAGTCCCTCTTCATAACAGAAGCAGTATATGAAACTCAATATTTACAAACAATAGAATTAAAAGCAAAGAAAATTCTATCAACCACAGCAACAACCCACTTATTGTCACTGTTTTCTGTTTCAACAAACAAGGCAGCTATCATGGAACCTTGCATAATGTAAAGTAAAGTAAAAGTAAAGCTATCCCTGTACCAGGCTGTGAAGGCCCATAGGATTGTGAGACGTTGAAGGTCCCACACTATCTAGAAAATCGGCTCAAAGATGGCGGTAAAGTTGTCAGCCTTATGCACCAGCCATGCTTTACTCCCCAGAAAAATTATTTAATTAATTCCTGGTACTCATTTCTGTTAGAGGCTGAGTAAACCCCAGGGCCTAGTGCAGCTGGAAGGATTAGGTCAACTGAAATAAAAATCCAATGACCTCATCAGGACTTGAACCTGCGATCTTCCGGCTTGTAGCATAGCCCCTCAACCAACTATGCTACCACGTGTCCCCTACCTTGCATAATGTACTCAAGAAAACTGGGCATGGACAGCATAAAAAAAAAGACAAATGCAATCTGAGATGAGATCAAGAAAGGATGTACTGACATGGTCATATGAGAAATTAGAATCTATAATAAATCAGGCACTAATTTACCAATAAAGAGTAAGTTCCATCAAGTGCAACAATTTTTAATGAGTAAAACCTTTACATGTTTCAGCATACAGCACCATGACCCCACTGGAAAACACATAAAACACCGTACACATGGCTCACCATACAAGACATTTACATACCACCAGAAAAGATATACAGAAGTCACTGGGGTCCATGTAATCAAACAGCAAAATTTTAAAATAACTGAACAGATACTGTTTGGTTTTTAACACAACTTGTTTTAAATATATCAATGTAAATTAAACCCTTTTAAGACAACATAAGCATGTCATACTTGTCAAGTATTTTCTTTGAAGTGTTGGTTGCCTTCTGATGATGGTCAATACCAGTGTAAACATGTAAAGGTTTTATTCCTATTAACAATTGCTGCACTTGATGGAATTTAGTCTTTACTCATATGTTATAAACTGTAGCAGTTCAAGAAACTGTCACTTACAAAAACAGGCACCAATTCCTGTCCAGAAATGCAACATAAAATTACAGGATTGATTTGTCACACAATAGCAATGCAGAAAAGAAAGTATATGGATAAAAACATTGTACAACATTCTGTATTTTGATGGTTATTACATTTTTAAATACTGAATGATAATTAAATGGCATGTGTTATAGTTTAAAAATCACAAAATTTTACATCTTTCTTTTTCAGTAATAATAAATAGGATCATATAAATACCTGTTTATATAGATATCACTATTATAATAAACTTACGCCATCTGTTGGTGAACTTCTGACTTTTAACGTTTAGGTGGCACCCAGTACCCTAATTTTTAGAGACTCATAAATGGTGCCGTTACTTCTTTGAAAACATGTCAAGTGTTCACTGTGTTCAAATTCCCTTTGCCTTCCATTCCTAATATTGAACAGAACTGAATTAAGCAAATAAGATGCCTGCATTAGAGGTTTAAATTAGCATACCTTTAGATGAAAGTGATAGCAGCTTCAACTTATATGAACTTATAATTAATTAATCGCTAACCCCTTTGATATTATAATCTTGTTCGGTATGGCACATCGTTGTCAAACCAGCAACTGCATCTGATGCCTACAATAGCCTGGCCTCCAAATTCTGCAAAGGAAACAAAAACTGTTATTAAGCAGCACACATCCTTTTCCACCCCCCCCCCTTGGCACTACAGCCCCAGTGGGCCTAGGCCTACCTCCATGAACTCCGTTCACTTCGGTTTTTCTAGATCTTACACATTCGGTAGGACTCCTTGGGCGGGTGATCAGCTCGTCACAAGGTCTCTGCCTGTAGACAAACACAGAAAAACGCACACAAACATCCATGCCCTGAGTGGGATTCTAACCCAGGATCCTGGCTTCCGAGCGAGCGAAGACAGTGCATGCCTTAGACCGCTCAGCTACCATGACCGGCTACACATCCTTTTTACCTTCAAATAAGTCAGTCTATTCTCACATGTAGGGAACTAGGAACTGCATGCAAAATTAAGCATCAGGTAAAGAAATCATACAACAGATCCAACTGAAGAGAGAAGGGTAATATTAAAGTGGCAGAGTTCTTCCCATTCATCATCTACATACCATTCCACCAAGCAATTCACAGAACATTGTTAAATAAATCAAGAAAGAAAGAACATGGAAAAACAAAATGCATTTGATGATACCTGATTTTTGCTTTGGTGTTAGAACTGATATATGTCAACACTGTAGTCACACTTCATTCCTTCTTCTCATGTGTCATATCTGCAACACAAAGATATTAAATAATACATTATTCAGACTGTCACTACTCAAGACATATTTGGTATTGCCTTTCAGGAGTATTTGGAAATATTGTGACGTGTCGCGCTAGCTGGACCCCCCCCCCCGGGAGCGGTGACGCGCCGAGCGGAGCCGAAGCGAGCCAAGTCCCGGCATGCTGGTCGCTAAGCAACGCGGGTAAACAGTGGTTGCGAGAGAGAACTCCTGACAGCGTTGCTAGCAACACGGCGCCAGACAACAGTGGTGCCTATTACGTGGCTGTTTTCTGTGTTGTCCGGAACGGTGCTAAATAAGGAGCAGCGAAGTCTATTCAAGACAGTTCTCAGTTCTCGAGTTACGAATTGACAGCTAGTTCTCAAGTTACGAGTCAGCCAGGCAGTCAACCAGCGCTTGCAGTGTAGTATTTGTGATACTGCCGATGGCAGTAATTGTCAGATTGTAATTTGTGTGATTGTAAGAATGAATGTGAAATAAAATATATCCAGCATGGCGTGAATTTATCTGTCGCGTTGTACACCAAGACGTGACAATATGTTATATGTGTGGTTTTCATAGTGGATGCTATGCTGTGTAATCTGGTAGAAGTTTATCTCCTGGGATATGACACTGTGAAGTCTGACAGATGCTTATCAAAGCATCAGTAAACTCCTACCTTGCTACACCACATCACATCCAAGAAGTCAGCTCTCTTATTTGGCAATGCTTTATTTGTCTTTTGTCTAAATAATACAGAGAACAGAACCAGTCAATAAAGCTCCTTCAACTGGTTAATCTTTTGAAGTTTCTTACAAATGTTACAGAAAATCAGTATAGGCTGGTCTTTCTCTATGGATGTTTGGCAACACATAAAGCATGTGCTAAAATTATACAGAAGTTCCAAAACTCCCATACAGTTTCATCTGTACATAACACTTCCATGGTCATAATGCAGTTCTCCATTTCATATGTCTTATGTCAGTGTACAGATGGCTGGCTGTCAGTTGGACAGACTTTTCCCAAACATTCTATCATCTGAGGGCTATACTTCATAAAATACTGAACCAAAATTTTTATCAACAGCATCTATTTCCCAAAAAATAATAAATAAAACCAGAAAAGTGAACTAAACTAAAATATAAATAATAATGTGAAAGTAAAGGTAAATTTGTTCCTGTACTTAATTACACACTCTAACTTGAAAACATCTGGTGGAATGGACATTAACCTTGGCACCAGATGGAGGTGAACAGTTGGTTTTACACCCTGGCTCCATAACTTCTGGGGAAAGAGCCACCAGTACCCATTGGATAGAAAGCTGAAGGCCCGAGATACAGTTTGGACATGATCCTGAAGAGAAATATCTTGCCCCTGGCAGGAATTGAACCCCAGCTGCTCAGCCTGTAGTCAGTTACTATACTGACTGAGCTATCCCAGATTTTGTAAGAACGTGCACCTGCATACTGTGCTGTCTGCTATTACTTGTTTCCAGTACTCAACTGGAACTTCAGTGCATAAGAGATCATTTTTATATGATCTTTATTATTTAGGATAAGTTGCAGAAGCTGTGTTAAAAATTTCACCAACATCTAAATACTGTATATGGCATTTGTATTAAACTACAAAAATCCAATGTCAGCTGCAGAGGAAAACCAAACCAAAATATAGCAGAATTTCAATTTAGTGTTCCTCTGTTTAAGATTTTCATTTATAAAGCATATAATATTTTGAACTGTAACACTGTGTACTTCAGAGAAACCTTGATATTTTAGAGGAACATATAATCTCAACTTGCTGTCTGCTTTTACTGGTATCTTGCCTGGCTCACTCTTCTACCCTAAAGATGGAGGCAACAAGTTCCTTCAAAATTCATTTTTTCTGAACTACCTATACGACTATACTCCTCATAGTCAGTGCCATGAGAAACTTAAATCCATCTTTCTCATATATAATTCAGATTTCCCTTGTCCTGACATGGGACTGAACCAGCTTCTCGGTGCTGTAGTCAGTAACAGAGCAGACAAATGTGGATTTAAGAAAATTACCTTCTTCATCATCATCATCAGCATCCATAATGTCAGAACAGCAAATAGAATAACAGATCAGGGTGAGGAATCCAAGCGGTAAACCGAAAAGAACAGCTGTCAGCACAGGATTCCCATGCCACATATCAGAGAGCGATGTGCGGGCCTCAAAGTAAGTTCGGTAAAGTTTCACAGGCAGTGTGTTACCACCATAGCTCTGGGGGAGGAGAAAAACATGGTTAAACTACCAGGGAAAGTCAGAAAATATCATCCTCAAGGTCTGGTGAACTCACACTGGCTATTCATTGTCTTAAGCAGTTTCTTCCAACATTATCTGATTTATGACCAGTAGTACAACAGTGGGTTACTCCTCATATTACCAGTTGTGAGTCAGCAAATGTTGGAAACTGCTACCTTATGGAAGTCTGTGAATAGTGAGTCCACCATACCTAAAGTATGATATTTCATCACAGCTGGGACAACTTTCTATTTTACAACTAACAACTTCATTTCCATTTAGTGGCTAAATAATCTGCATTGAAGACTACTAGCTTTTAGCAAAGAGTTCTCAACAGGTAACTCAATTACGATTACTTTTCTTTCCGCTATACAGTGGAACCTCGCTTAACGAGCATAACTTGTTCCAGAATCTTACTCATAAAGTGAAACAATTTTTTCCCATATAAAATAATGTAAAATACGATAATGCATTCCATGCCGAAAAAATACTCAAAAAATTTTATGTACTGTGGGGCTCTTGTCGTCAATGTGTGTAGTCTTGTCATTACTCCGATGACAACCCACTTCTTCGGAACAGTTTGTTGGCCCTGAAAAGGACCGTGGCTGCTGAGATGATTGACCGGTGAGGTACTGCGGCGCGCGCCGGTAAGGAGAAAGGCTAGTGAAAGGCGAGTGGCCTGGCCACAGTGCGGCCGTGCCTGGAGGTTGCTTGGTTGCCATGCGGCAGCATGAGTTGGAGGTTGCTTGATCGCAGTGCGGCAAATGGCGGAGGTTGCTGCTGGTGGTGAAAGGCTAGTCGTCGAGCGCGGTCGTAGTAGCCATGAGGCAGTGGCTACGCCAGATGCCCAGTGAGTCGGACCTTAACACGACCACCGGCGAGTCCAGGCGCGGTGCCGCCCCAGTGAGTCGGGTGTGAGAGCGCCGGAGGGCCGAGGCAGTCGTGCCCGGCGCAGCCTGCCGATGCCTCCGAAGACCGAGCGCTGGCGACGAAGCCTGCTGGTTGAAGTTGCTTGATGTGACTAGCTCGTAGACTGATGATGAACTGAATGATTCGGCTTTGGAGTCGCTCCTTTTTATACACTGGTCGGTGGGGCGGAGCCAAACTCGAAAGTGAGGAGGAAGAATTGATTGGCTAGCGCACGTAATGATGTAGATGCGGCCAGGAGCGATCCCAGTATAAATATGAACGTTTGAAGCAATCAGATTGGTTAGCGCGCGTGATGGTGAAAAGCAATGTGAAGAGAGAGCGTTGCAGAAATGCATGATAATGTGGGATGTTCCCACAGTACAATGTTTATTCAAAGAAAATTATATATACATTGTTAAGGAGCGTGAATCATCTTCATCTTTTCTTCTATGCTGAATGAACCAACCTGGAATGCGAATTCGATTTGTAGAAAACAAAAAGAAAATCGAAATAATTAGTTTATTATTTATGATACATATCTAATTCTTTTTTACTAGAAAGCTGTGTAGAGACATTTGTTTTTGCCGACGCTTCAAAATTTGGTGAAAATGCGACACAGCATTATCATTAAATAAATTTGTAGCACGCATAGCCACTGCCTTATTAGGGTGATGCTTCTCAATGTACGATGCAACACTTTCCCATGCTTTCAGCATTTCTCTTATTGCGCCAGAAGATTGTTGCTTTGCTGTTACCTCCTCCTCCTCCTCTGACAAACTCTCCTCCACAACTTCTTGCTGTTAAACACAATGCAACTCCAAATCGTGCAAATCGTTGATGTACACCGATTGTATATGTGTGCTAGATCAGCCACGCTCACACCTCGTTCTCACTTTTCAATGATTTTACGTTTCATTTCTACGGTTATTTTTATTCTCTTATGGCTGTCTTTTTGCAGCTTTTTCTTCGGGGATATTTTTGCAAGGGTTATTAAATGTTGCACAAAAAAAATCACAAATAATATGTCTGAACACAAGTTTGGAAAAATGTGTGATCACAAGCAACACTAAGATGCTAGTGAAACGAGTGCTAAACACAGACTGATGTAGCAAGCGCACAATCCGGGACTTCCCCTCTCGTCACTTGTTATGTGAAATGTCGCCCGTTAAGCGAGTCATTTTTTTACTAGTTGTTTTGCTCGTTATGTGAATTACTCGTTATGAGAGGTGCTCACTAAGAGAGGTTCCACTGTCTACCAAAATGACAGTACACAATTATTCCTCACAAATCATTTCATATGCCCTCTTGCATAATTCTTAATTGGAATGTTTAATGTGGCTGACTGTATCCTGCTTCAGTTTTATGCCATATAAAGGTATCATTCTTACATTGCAAAATAAACATGTGTAAGCATATACTGTTATTAACAGCATTCCATGGTGAACATTTATATGGGTGCAGTATTATTTTCACTGTACTATTTGAGACAAAATTATGTACTCTCTTTAAAAAACCACCATGAATCAGAAAAGGCTGGATATCCTTACTCTAGTGGCACAGATGTATCTGACTCGTACTATGCAGCACAACTTACTGGAGCAGAATGGTTGTAAACCTGCTCCAAAAAGATGGTCACGGCTTCTGGCGTGAGCTGACTTGGGTCATCCTCTGGGATGTGGTGATGATTGGTTGTTGAGTTTACTACCAGCAAATATGGAAGTGGTAACACTGACATTGCAATGGAATTGGCCAGTTCTGGGCTCCCCACCCAGCCAAACTGGAACCATCTATCAAAATACCACATGGTGAAGGCTTCGCTTTATTAGTATGAATGACTTTACTTGTGCAATTTATGCCTGATAATATTCATGTGACTGAAACATGTTGCAGAACTAACTGCATCTTGAAAAGTACAGTCTCCTGGATTATAATGCTGTGTAGTTCAGAGACAACCCAACATTTCAGAGGAATGTACTGCCTCCATCTTCAGGGTTGAAGAGTAAGCCATGCATGAAAACAGCAAAAGCAGGTGTCAAGCTGAGCTTCTTCTGCCTGCTTCTGCTAGTTTCTTCTTTGGCTTGCCCTTTGAACCTGAAGATGGTGGTGATATTTTCCCAAAAATGTTAAGTTCTCTCTGATCTACATGGCTTTACAACCTAGAAGACCATGTACTCTTCACAGTCACCACCATGAGAGATGGTCTGTTCTCTTAATTTGCTGCTGCTCTTCTCCATAACAGTAATTCTTGGTTTTGGGCCCTGTGGGACCCATGATCATATTTTTCTGTTTCACATCTCTCTGCTATGACAGCCTCAAATCCAACATAACCGTGTCTTATAGAAGTAAAAATTGTTTGACAGGTGTACAGTTGAATCACTTACACTATTTCTGGAAGAGTTCTACGTCTAAATTGTATATCTGTGTGTTACAGGATAGATGCTGAACTTTTATGCCAAAGGTTTTTGGTTCAAATTAGGTGTCAATTTTTCTGCACTTCATGTTTGTCCACTCCCCCAGTTCTAACAAATCCAAAATTCTGTGAATATGTGGAATGCAACCCCTGCCATGGCTTAGTGTCTTTGTTAAGCTATAGGGTCCACCTGCCAGCCATAATCCTCACCACTATTCCACCATAAGCAGCAGCAGAGTTTTTCTTACAGACGCCCTTCCTACAAGAAGGGACTCCTTCAACATTGCTGGGACAGACAAAGACTATAAATTCAAGAATACCTCCAGGTATTGTCTAATCTGCCTCAGCAAAACTGTCTGAGTACTCTTCTGATGTGAGATGATGATCAGCACAGGGGGACTTCATATGGATTTTGAATAATGGCATACTGTTTCACATATTTATGAAGTTCTATCTTTATCAAAGGTGAGGGAATGGAAACATGAGGAAAAACTGCACTTAATCTAGCTGGTCTTGAACTAGAAACCTTTGCTTCAAAATTCCAGTGCCTTGCCCCTATAACACCACAGTCCCTACATGTTAACAGTTAAATAACTGATCTATATTAACTTTCTGTATTTCCTGGCTGTGCAAGAAATGACAAGCTGATTTGTAACAGCTGAAAATATATACACTCAACTCTCGATTATCTGGGGGGCGGATAAACTGGTTGTGGCTTAACCGGGGCTTTTTTGAGGCTTATATGTTGTTTAATATTCATTCAATTCTGTTTCACATGGTGAGTTGTAACACTATTTTCACACTCGTGTCAAGTGAGCTCTGGATTTTTTGGTCCCATTATGCTAACACAATGTTCTAGGGTAGGGGTGAAAGAATGCAAGGATTTGTGGAAAGTTTCAAGGACAGATACACCACCCCAGTTAGTTTCTTTGTATTGATCTTCAAGTGCGTTAGCAAAATGTCAGGGTGTAAAAGGAAGCGTGTTGTGTTAAGTATTCAACAGAAAAAGGAAAATGCCGCGAAAAATGTAAATGACAATATTAAATTTGTTTAAGTGTTAAGCGTGAATATTTGTAAAAAGTGTTGGATGTTGTTGAAGACTGTGATTGAAATAACTAATTCATACTTCAGTGTAATGTAAAAAAAGTATTAAATAGGCCATGAGATGACATAAAAATGAGGTTGAATAAATTTAAATACAGCTGGGCCTAGAGTATTATGAAGGTACAGTATTGCAGTACTACTTTTAATAAAATTTGTCTTAACCGGGTTTTCGATTAATCGTGATTTCCATCCCCACCATTATCCCGGATAATCGAGAGTTGAGTGTATTATGTTAATTTTCTACTAATGTTTGTGTGTTTTTCTACTAATGTTTATGTGCTGTTTTGTTTGAACGTGTTTATGTGTGTTATTTGTCTGTTATCTTNAATAATAATAATAATAAAATCAAGAGAGGTATCTGCACTGAGAAGAGAAGAAAATGACTTTGAATGACTATGTCACCTCTTTGCATGCAACAGAAAATCAGTCTCTAAGCAAAAAGAGACTGGACCATGTGTCACTGGGTGAGTTGGTTCACTGACAGAAAAGGGTTAAGCTACAAATATATGGAAGAAGCTGGTCTAGAGGTTAACACCTTAAATTTGTATTCAGGAGGTGCTCAGACTGAATCTTGACTGGGACACTGGCTATTCTGGCAGCAGTTTCCATAGTACCTCAATTATGCCACAACCACTTCTTTCAAATTCTTTTCTGGTTCATCACTCATCTGATGCTATAGTCTTGATACTAGAAATATGATAAAATACATCCCCCCCCCAAACGCACAAACATCCATCAGCATCAGCATAAATTTACAAATATAATATACATTTTACAGTTTATCATCCTAATACAGCAAAGTTACATGGAATCTATGATAACAGGCAAGACTGTCCACCCTTATGTCAAAGTATGACTTCATGCAGGCATGCAGGATACATGGAGGGGTACAGATCCATGTGTTCTCAACCTTGGCACTAAATGAAGGTGTGTAATCAGCCTTACATTCTAGCAGCTTCACCCCCCAGGAGAGAGGGATGGGGCACCCCAGAGCCAGTTTGGACATGGACATGAAACAATAACAAAATGAAAGTTGTCTAGGCCATAACACATCACTTCACTGAAAATTATCACCTATTTGTGACAATGAAGGGATGACAAAGGCCAATTTTAAGGCTCTATCACAGAGTTTATTAGTCTTTGTATGTCTTTATATTGAAAATGCTTAAAAACTGTATATATTTCATTCTTTCAATTTGTTTGTTTCATACACAGATCCTAAATACTCACTTGTGCAACTTTTCTCTGTTCTTTATAATGACAGACTCGATCATATCTCGAAACCTGCAACAAATAGGAATAATAAAGTTTGGAAGCCCGAATTTGGTCAACTCTGCCAAAAATACATCAATATACAGCATTTACATGCCATGAGTGGAAAAACATCGTATATGGAAATTAAGAGCTTAACCATTTTCATGTTGACATTTACTTAGCAACAACACTTTCTTTTATGTGCATATAGTGTCTGTGATAATTTGTCCTTTATCATATAGGAATAAATAAATAGGGGTTGGCAGCCAAATTTCAACTTGACGGCATTAACTATTAATGACATTAATACTGAAAAGATGAGTATATCTTTGGAAATATTCCTACTAGTAATAGTAAAAAGTGTTTGAAGGAAAATAAATTGCCAAATTCTATAGTGTTATTTTTTATTGGTATAAAAATCATTCTTTTCCAAAAAAATATTCTGAAATAAAAATTTTATGCATGCGTGCTCTCTCGCTCTCTCTCATTCACTCACTCACTAGAGAATTGCTTACTGAAATTAACACTAAACTAAAACTATCAATACAGGAATTCCATTTGTTACAGATTATCTGATTCCAGAGAAAATCATTTCTTATTACAATAAACATAAATATAGCTTGGTATGGAATTATTTAGAAAAACTGTAAAGTTCAGAGGTTTCTCGTAAAAAGAATGATGTGATTCATATACAGACTATAAAACACACAAGAGATCACTGTAGGTCACGGTGCAAGAGCCAGCAGTTAGGCCCACCCATTATGTGTGTGTGTGTGTGTGGGTGTGTGTGTGTATGTATGTATGCATGCATGCATGCTGCAACACTAACGCTACTAAAAATAACGTATGGGCATTTCATCACCAATTAAGATGTCAATTAGGAAAGAGAACACCTATAATTGATTCTACACATTGCAACCTAACCTAACCTAACCTAACCTACTAGTTCAATATACTGTTATATTTTCCATACTTACACGAGCATTTCAGTGGGGATCTCCAGTAGCTTATTCTCTTCCACTACAGCTAAAACAAGGTATTTTTTTGTCTGCAATAGCTGATTAATGCTCCCTCGTGTTACCTTCGGGAATGTTGCAAATCTCTCAACGTTTATCCAGCCAAACATGGAGGCATTCAAGTGCCCCATCTCCAAATCTTCATTAACTGGTTCTGCTGTAATCATAATGAAAAACAATATTCCCATTCTGTGTGTTACACTGTAAAACATTTCAATGTCATTCAACGTCACTCTGTGCCACACAATGTCATGCTATGCCATCCAGACTCCAAGAGTGCATGCATGCATGCATGCAAGATTGGATTAATCCACAGGCTTTGAATTCTTCTAGGAGACCATACTATGTGGGAGAGAAACACAACTGTAAATTCTGAGAAAACTTATTCCTGAGACCTTGAAGAAGGCGGTCAAATTAGAAACAGAGAACTTTGATAGTCAGTGCCACCAAAAATGAACAGTATTACTTCTACAAATTAGCCTAACAAACCACTAATAAAAATTAAAATGAAAATTATTGGGCAAGCAGTTTTATTGAAATAGATGCCCAATATGTTCAATATTTCACCAACCTGGAAATATGTATTGTGTGTTTTCTTTGTACACAAACACAGATGGAATTGATGTTACTGTGAGATGCTTTCTTGCAATTTCAGGAGAGACAGAATAGAAAAATCCATGAGGCTGAAATTTTTCAGCCACATCGGAGTAAGACTCCTGTAAAGCAGAAAATCAAATATGTTGTATTTTAGCGTCCTGTTGCACTGATCCAACGATATAATGCACGCAGCCACAAGAGTAGAACACATCATAAGACACAATATACACACAACATTAGAAACATACGAAGAATGACCCCCATGAGGAGGATTAATAACACACACGAATTTTAAAAATATGACGTACGAGATAATAGATTTTAACAAGTTTTAAACACATAAACTTTATTATTATATAAGGACGTATACAAATTTAATATTATTTGTAAATGGACATATAAAGGCAAGCAGTGAAAAGATTAACGGATCAATACACCTGAAGATGGCAGCATCCTGCCGACACATGTAGTTTAGAAGTGGTATTACAGCGTTCCGTATATAATGCCTATTTTTTTTAAAGAAAACTACAACAGATACAGAAAGCATAATAATGCAGTTATATAGAGCAAGATTTCAGCTACTTACAGTTATTTTTCCACATAATCACCACCATTCATTATGCACTTTTGCCATCGATGAACAAGAGCCTGTATGCCGCACCTGTAAAAGTCTGCGCCAGCAGATGCTAGCCACTTTCTTATACCTGCAATGACAGCATCATTGTCTGGAAAGTGTTGCCCACGTAGTCCATCTTTCTTAGGCCCAAAGAGATGGAAGTCTGAAGGTGCTAAACCAGGGCTATAAGGTGGATGTGGTAGGACAGTCCAGCCAAACTTTGCAATGTGCGCGGTAGTCACCAAACTGGTATGGGGTCTAGCATTATCGTGTTCCAAGCAAAAGGTCTGCTTCTATGGCCTGACTCGGGAAATGCGGGCTTTCAGCTTAGTCAGCTTCATTTTGTAGCGTTCAGAATTGACAGTCCCTGGTCGTTATCTGCTGATCTGTATGGATGAGGCACTGTTCATTGTGAGGAGTGGCAGCTGAGCAGGGACGCCCGGGGCGTGGCTTGTCGTGCACTTCACTTGTGCCACTGTTGAAACGCACTACCCACCGCCTCACTGTGCTGACATCCACTGTATCTTCTCTGTACACCTTTAGCAAGTGTCGATGGATGTCAATGGCTGCAATCTGTTCAGCAGTGAGAAATTCAATAACACATCTCTGTTTCATATGCACTTCTATGTCAGACACCATTTTGGTAGGCTGCTCTGCTGTCGCTATCTGTTGCACGACAACCAACCTAACAGTAGATTGGCGGGAAGGTTCAACCTTTACTACAACACCACCAACATCCATCTCAGACATTACATATTAACACAAAAAAATAGGAGCCATTATTTACAGAACGCCCCTAGTATATGGGATTGTATGCACTTGAAGACTGTTAATATATACACATTATGAACAGAAAATCAAAATTAAGATAGTTTGCTGCTCTGAAGAAACAACAAAATAAATTCATCAGATTATCAGCTGCAACACAAGTACCTCATTCACAAATTCTTGACTTGAAAAAGATTTATTTTACAAAATAATAAGGCACTGAAACAGGGCTGAATACTCAGGCCGTGAAGAAGTCAGAAGCAATTGTTCAACCTAGGTAAATAACCCCATAATACAGGCTCTCCCTTACGCAGCTGAGAGCAGCCAGCTAGTTAATTTTACTTACAGTTTTAACAATTATGCTTTCAGTAGCTTAGATTACATATGAGGGTTGGAACTTTAATAGTGGCAACACTGCTGTAGAGAGGCCATGCAACGGAACCAAATAATGCCGTTTATACCACATGTTAGTTACATACCTACCTTACCTCAGAGCAAATGGATTCTCCCTTCCAACATCACATGCATGCGCAGTGACAAGAAGAACAGAGCCTCGTGTTAGCTGACGGTCTAATGTAGTGTTGTCACGATGTTTTCGAAACAGGAACAAAGGAGTTGGATAAAGATTGAACGTGCCAGAGGCTGTACAGCACGGCAGTGTCATCAAGGTCTTCAAGAGGCTTGCAGGGAATCTGCATTGCCTTACAGAACAGTGGCAAGGTGGGTAAAAGCCTTCAACAAGGGATACCAAAATGAGGCAGACATGCGTCAGCCAGGTCGTCCTAGTGTCAGTGAAGAAGTGTATGCTCTTTCCATGTTACTGGAGAGTGATCAAAGCCATACAATTCGTGAGCTGGCCCAAGAGACAGGATTAGCGCATACGACTGTGCTTCACATTCTGAAGGAACACCTGGGCATGAGAAAAACTGCATCATGATGTGTTCTACATGATTTGACGGAAATGCAGAAATGGCTATGATACGAAGCTGCTCATAACCACTTAGAGTGCTATGAGCATGAAGGAGAGGCTTTCTTATGCTGTATCATCATGCTGGATGAGACATGGGCCAAATCATACGAGCCACAAATGAAACGCCAATCAAACGAATGGTGCCATTACGGGTCACCATGAAAATCAAAAGTTCGTCAGAACCCCAGCAATGTGAAAGATATGGTGATTCTCATGTATGACTGTGATGGTGTTATCCTAATGCATACTGTTACCCGACAGCAGACTGTCAATGCACAGTATTACTGTTCATTTTTGGAACACAACCTGCGACCAGCTTTGAGAAAGAAGCGGTGACACTTTCTGCAGAACCCATCCATCATTTTGCAGGACAATGCTTGGCCGCATGCAGCACAAGGTGTGGCTGATTTGTTTGATCGAAGTGGCTGGGAAGTGCTGTACCATCCACCATACTCCCTGGACTTAAGCCCTTGTGACTTTGACTTGATTCCTATAATGAAGGAACCACTTCATGGCATTCACTTCAGAACTGTTCCAGAGATTCTTCAGGCAGTAGACCGCTCCATTCGTACTGTCAAGACAACAGGTGCTGCTAAAGGTATCCTACAACTTCAACATTGCTGGCAACGGGTTGTACACAATGCTGGTGACTACAATGAAGGACAGTAAAACTTCGAAACATGCATCTATTTTGTATCAGTTGTAAATAAATAGTTGCCACTATTAAAGTTCCAACCCTTGTAGCATCAGACAACAGTGTTTTGAATAAGGAAATGACTGTGGCTAAATTTGATGTATTATCCCAGCATTTGCCTAGACAGACTGAGAAAAACCATGTAAGACCTCTTGAGGATAGCCATCTCTGGGCTGAGATTTGAATTCAGGACATCCCAAATATGAAAAAAATAGTGCTAACCACTGAACTATAATGTGCAGTGTCACCTAATCAAGAATTTCCCTGTTGTCATGGGACATAACAGGAAATTACATTACAGTTTGTTGACCATGTGCTTAAGCCTGTTCAAAACATACCCACATGACAGTTTCTACTGATAAACTTCATTCAAAGTTTCTCTATTTTATTTACTAGGTCAAACACAAATTCCATCACCAAATCCAGATTTATCAGACAAAAATATACACTCCATAAAAAAAATTTAGCAAAGACTTAACTAAAGAGTGTAATGTGTCAAAATATGGTACAAGGAAAAGTTACATTTGTAAGTGAATTGGAGAGATATGCAGTATATATTACATCACTGAAAAGCCACCTATTTCACATTTCTTTAATTTTAAAATTATACTCCCAGGAAGTCTCTAAGTGGGCTCTTCGAAAGGGGCTTTCCAACTGCAATGTACAGCCAAGCCATGATATACTGATCACTGGTAACAGCACTCAGCTCTGTCTGCCTAAAAATGGGACTGGCCAGCACTAACATCAATGCCGTCCACCTTGAGACAGCACTGGCTGACAATCCTGTGTTGGCCAGGCAGTCAGCCAATTGTGCTTTACTTACAAGCACTGCTCCACTACCACAATGATCCTATATGCATTTGCATGCCATGGCATTTGGAGTTGAAATTAAAATATGATAACAGTAATATCTTCTTCAATCTGAGTTTGGGGCTGCTAATTCACATGCACTTGGGGCCAAGGATCATTAAACACAGTGGGACTGTAGTTTGTTTTCTTGGTTTTACCATGCATGCTGGATACCCTGCCAATTACATTTTATTGATTTAATCACCCTAATAATATCAATTGTGTGTGCTTACCCATAGCAAACCTGCGTGGTCACCTACATAAACAAAGAATAACGGGTTGGATGCCTTCAGATTCTCAAGGCTCTCTGTTCGAGTGATCTGCTTTACTGGAGGCCCCGACACTCGCAGGGCAAAGTTCACTATTTCTTCCTTTGTCCTGTCTCCTTTGAATGTGTACTGAATTTCCCCATTCAAGCTGTGAATTTTTTATAATATATTAGCAACAATTGTGAAATGACTGTTACACATTAAGTTATCCTGTAAGCATTCAGAATGAAATTAAGACTCTTGTGATACCAGTTAAGCTCATAAACATAAAAGGTTCCATGAGGAGCTCAGCGCATCTACTGAATTAATGATTTAAAGTGTGTATGAGCTAACAGACATTAAAAAGTAGTACTGTACAATTCAGAGACTGATTTTTGAGTGAAATTTCCATTAACCCAGATATATACACGGTGTGTCCATGATCCGTTACGAATAATTTTTTTTAAATTTTGCCCTACAATGCCATCACTAGGCGAGTTGTGGCATTAAGATTCTTGAAGTTTCAGCTGTGGCTGTCTATAATTTCAAAGCGCAAGCATCGCTGCATCATGTGTTCTGACCTTGAATGTAACAGTACTGTTCTGACGCTCATCGGAAAATGGCAGTTGAACACAGAGCCAACATCAAATTTTGTTTGAAGTTAGGCAAAACAGCTGGAGAAGCATATGAAATGATGAAAAGTGTGTACGGTAGTGATTGTTTGAGTCATTCAAACATTTTTCAATGGTATGCTGTATTTCACGAGGGCAGGGAGGACACTGAAGATGCTCCACATGCATCAAAGCCAAGAGCAAGTTCCACTGAAGAAAATGTGAAAAAAGTGACTGAAATCCTTGCATCAGACAGATGTGTTTCTGCAAGACTCATCGAGGAGCTTTTGGGAATACCAAAAAGTACTGTGCATCAAATTTTGACCAAGGTTTTGGCAAACGGAAGGTCTGCGCGCGGTTTGTACCACACACGCTGCCAGGTGATGAAAAACATGCCAGAGTGGAACACTGTAAAGACATGTTACCGTCGGCCCAAAGTGATATAAAATTTACAAAATCCATTGTTACTGGTGACGAGACATGGTGTTTTCAATATGAGCCTCTCACAAAGTGGCAAAGTGCAGCGTGCTTGGGCCCAATGAAGCCAAAACCAAAGAAAGTGTGCATATAAAACAGTTGAGTAAAGACACTGCTAACCGTTTTCTTCGATTCCAAAGGAATCATTCACAAGGAATTTCTGCCAGAAAGTCAAACAGTGAATTCTGATTATTATCTCGGAGTCTTCAATCGTTTGTGGGCAAGAACTCTTCGAATTCGACCTGAATATCGAGAGCAAGGTTCCTGGTCGCTCCTCCACGACGATGCCCCACCCCACAAATCAAAGACCGTGCGTGAATTTTTGGCCAGAAAAGGGATCACAGTCCTTGATCATCCTCCATATTCACCACATTTGGCTCCAGCAGATTTCTAGTTGTTCCCAAAAGTTAAGTTGGCAATGAAAGGAGACCGTCATGACACCATCCAGGACATCCAAAGGGTATGGTACCACAGTTTTAAATGCGATTCCACAAAAAAAGTATAGTGACTTTTCGAAAACTTTTCAATCGATTCCAGCTATGCATTGATTCAGAAGGAGACTATTTTGAATTTAAAAAGTGAAATTTTGAAAAGAATTCACGTCTTGTATTTTTAATGGACAGTCCTAACAGAACCTGGACACACTGTGTATGTCTGTCCATCTCACCCAGTTTCTCCCAAGTGGTAGCAGAGTCTCATTCTCTCTCCCTACTGGCTAAATTGAAAAGCACAATAACTCTAGTAATTAGTACTTAATGTGTTACTGTAAACCTTGTGAAAGCCTTATTAACTCACAATAATATTGTTGGAAAGCCTGACACTCCAAACTCTGTAGCAACATTGGTAAATCTGGTGCAATCAACTCGACCCACACGAATGTTGGTGTTGTGGAGGGCCTGTGCCACATGAGACCATATTGGTTCCAAGCGTTTGCAGTGGGCACACCAAGGGGCATAAAACTGTGAAAAATAAAGGAAATACAAAACTTTCCTGTGCATACAAAAAGTAAATGAACTTACATATTAATAACTGCAAAATTCCCTGATGTATTTTATACATTTTTGTTACAGTACAAATCCCCACTACATATATATACATATACCACACACACATAACTTCAAATTTTCACTTTCAGACTGAAGGACACACACATCAAAAGATGGTTTCATGTCAGACTTACACACGTATCCTTATTACCTGCCTAATAATATCACAGTCAAAGAGAAAGTTAAATATTGATTACATGCATACAAAATGTATTTCATATATTACAAAAAATTACAACTATTCATTCATTCATTCATTCATTCATTTATTTATAGTTCCAAAAAAATCCATAGAGGCATCTGCCTCAGATATAGAACAAGTCAATAATACAATATAACATATAAATATACATACATAATCAGATAGTCATCATCGTCAAAATTTAAATACTCAATACAACAAAACTACTGTACAGCAATACATTCCATATATCAAAATAACATATAAAATTACATATATGATCAAAGACCACCAAGATCCTTAATATAGTAATATAAAATCTATTTTCTTAATATATAATACACCTGTATCATAACAGTAATAGCACCTTTTTCCTGAGTATTTATTCCATAGTCCATTGCATTCTAGCAATAAGCAACAGTGTTCATTTCAATATACATTTTATTCATACATTCATTCATTCATTTATTACAGTTAAAAAATCCACAAAGGGGTCTGCTTCAAAATATAGAAGAAGTCAGCAGCGCAATATAACACATAAATATACATGCATAATCAGATAGTCATCATCATCAAAATTTAAAATACAATACAACAAAACTACTGTACAACAATGCATTTCATATATCAAAATAACATTTAAAATTATATACATGATTAAAAGACCACCAAGACTCTTAATATAGTAATATAAAATCTATTTTCTTAATATATGATACACCTATATCACAGCAGTGATAGCACCTTTTTCCTGAGTATTTTATTCCATATTCCGTTGCATCCTAGCAATAGGCAACAGTGTTTATTAAATATACATGAGGGATCAATCTTTATTCCAGCAGTAGTATTCTTCAACAGTATAAAAAGAACTGGTGATAAGAAACTTCTTTAACGCCACTTTAAATCCAGGAATGTCATAAGATAATTGTTTAAGCTCTGGAGGGAGGTGGTTATAAAGTTTGATACCAGAATACCATCCACCTTTCTGAAATATCGTTAAGTTTACCACCGGAAGATGCAAGTCATGATTAAATCTGGTATTACGTGTGTGGACATCAGAGTTTGTTATATAGCAATCTCTATTCTTGACAACCAGCATAAGTA